TTTGCCCTCAGTGTTGACTGAGTTAACTTGCAGTCTGTGAAATATATAGTCAACTTCTTTCAGTTGCTAACACTGAATAACCAGCACGGCCTGTTTTTTCAGCTTCTGCTCCCAGACCACAGACCCGTGGTGGAAGAAGTTACAGATCCCTATAGCCATTTTGCTCGAAGCCTTTTTGCAACTATCTTTCATCATTTATTTTATTCATCACTAGACTCTTTGGTGAACTCCCACAAAGACTCCATTTCCTTTATCTCTTTCTCATAAGGCGATGTCACCTACTTTATGGAGATGAAAGGGAGTAGGGTAAGAATTCCCTCATAGTCTGCCTTTACTTTGTAGCTGAAGCCTCAAATCCGTAAAAGTTTGAACGTTAACTGCTTAATCTATCTTTCCTGCCATCCTTCCTTTACCTAGGACTTGTTCTTACATAATAGTATGTATTATTTCCTCAGGTCTCCCCATATGCACAGACCCTTCTTTTGGCTTGTAAATATCTTAACGTTTCTTTTTTCTTTTTATTTTTTGAGACGGAGTCTTGCTCTGTCAACCCAGGCTGAAGTGCAATAGTGTGATCTCGGCTCACTGCAACCTCTACCTCCTGGGTTCAAGTGATTCTTGTGCCTCAGCCTCCTGAATAGCTGGGACTATAGGCGCCCGCCCCCATGCCTGGCTAACTTTTGTATTTTTAATAAAGATGGGGTTTCACCATTTTGGCTAGGCTAGTCTCCCAACTCCTGACCTCAAGTGATGTGCCTGCTTCACCTCCCAAAGTGCTAGGATTACAGGCGTGAGCCACTGCACTTGGCCTTAAATAGCTACTGATTTAGGAATCCTGTTTTCCTTAAAAATTGTAATTGTTTTGTGTGTGTGTGTGTGTCTTTTGAGACTGAGTTTCACTCTTGTTGCCCAGGCTGGAGTGCAATGGCACGATCTTGGCTCACCTTAACCTTTGCCTCCCAGGTTCAAGTGGTTCTCCTGCCTCAGCCTCCCAAGTAACTGGGCTTACAAGCATGGACCACCATGCCCAGCTAATTTTGTATTTTTAGTAGAGATGGGGTTTCTCCATGTTGGTCAGGCTGGTCTTAAATTCCCAACCTCAGGTGATCCACCAGCCTCGGCCTCCCAAAGTGCTGGGATTACAGGTGTGAGCCACCGTGCCCAGGCCCAAAAATTGTAATTCTTTTTTCTTTCCTCCTAACCTCTCCTATGTGTGTACATAATCTGTCTTTGGTCTCTACTGCTTTCCACTCATTTTTACTATTTTTTTTTAAATTATTTTTTATTTTTAGAGATGGAATGTCATTCTCACCTAGGCTGGAGCACAGTGGCACAATCATAGCTTGCTGCAGCCTCGAGTTCTGGCCTCAAGCAAACCTCCTACCCCACTACCTTCATGAGTAGCTAGGACTACAGTCATGCACCACCATGCCCAGCTAATTTTTTTTTTTTTGAGACAGAGTCTTGCTCTGTCGCCAGGCTGGAGTGCAGTGGTGCGATCTTGGCTCACTGCAACCTCCGCCTCCTGGGTTCAAGCAATTCTTCCACCTCAGCCTCTTGAGTAGCTGGGACCACAGGCATGTGCCACCACGCCCAGCTAATTTTTGTATTTTTAGTAGAGATGGGGTCTCACCATGTTGGCCAGGATGGTTTTGATCTCTTGACCTCGTGATCCACCCACCTTGGCTTCCCAAAATGCTGAGATCACAGGCGTGAGCCACGGCACCGAGCCCCAGCTAATTTTATCCGGGAGCGGTGGCTCAAGCCTGTAATCCCAGCACTTTGGGAGGCCGAGGCGGGTGGATCACGAGGTCGAGAGATCAAGACCATCCCGGTCAACATAGTGAAACCCCGTCTCTATTAAAAATACAAAAAATTAGCTGGGCATGGTGGTGCATGCCTGTAATCCCAGCTACTCAGGAGGCTGAGGCAGGAGAATTGCCTGAACCCGGGAGGCGGAGGTTGCGGTGAGCCGAGATGGCGCCATTGCACTCCAGCCTGGGTAACAAGAGTGAAACTCCGTCTCAAAAAAAAGAAAAAAAAAATTTTAGAGACCAGGGGGTGGGAGGTGGGGTGCCCTCACTATGTTGCTCAGGCTAGTTTTGAACTCCTGGCCTCAAGCAGCCCTCCTACCTTAGCCTCCCAAGTAGTTAGGATTACAGGCACAAGCGAAGGTTGGCTTATTTTTTTAACTTTAAAAAATATACTCAGCCCTAGGGTAGCATAGAGTTTATCAAGACCTTAAAATCTTTTTTTTTTTTTTTTGAGACGGAGTTTCGCTCTTGTTACCCAGGCTGGAGTGCAATGGCGCGGTCTTGGCTCACCGCAACCTCCGCCTCCCGGGCTCAGGCAATTCTCCTGCCTCAGCCTCCTAAGTAGCTGGGATTACAGGCATGTGCCACCACGCCCAGCTAGTTTTTGTATTTTTAGTAGAGACGGGGTTTCACCATGTTGACCAGGATGGTCTCGATCTCTCGACCTCGTGATCCACCTGCCTCGGCCTCCCAAAGTGCTGAGATTACAGGCTTGAGCCACCGTGCCCGGCCAAGACCTTAAAATCTTGTTGAATATTCAAACATCAATCTATAAACTTGGTCAGTTTGGGACTAGCATAGTATGTTGTTATTACAGTGGGATGTATTAATACATGTAGATATAAACAATGAGGGCATATTACAGAGAACTTGGCAGAATTTAGTGTAAATGTGGAAGGTAATGTGCAATCAAATTAGATGACAATGGTGCATTTGAAAAGGTACATCTGACAACTAATTCTATAGCATTGTAGCATCAGCATAGAATATATGAATAGACAGTCATAGTTGAAATCTCCCTAAAAAAAAATAAAAAGCACTGCTCTTAAATAGCTTAATATCTTTTGAAGAATAACAATGTTAGGAAGCCTAGTGTAACAAAAACCTATATATACATTGAATAAATGTTATTTGCTGGGGCTGACAAATACATCACCTGCCATTGTGACCCATGCTCATAACATATTGACAATTTATCATGGAACTTGCTGAAGTAACTAGAATGTATTAAGTTTATACAACAGTTCTCTGGGCTGCTGTTACTAAACTTTGGCACTGAGATTAAACATTTATACAACTTCTAGCATTTAGCAATTCAGGGAAATGCTGATCGAGGTTTCACTGAAGAATTGGGGCTTGAACGAGAGGATCTCTCTACACTTATTTTTCTTTTGCTCTCTGACATTAACTTTCTGATCTGTGGCCTTCATATCCTCCGTGTTACCACTATAAATAGTACCTGGATGTCTTCATGCTGATCCATCTTCCAATCTCACCTTCTAGCTTGTCCTGCTTTATAATCCTTCAGGTTTAACTCAAAACCTAGTTTATCCATGATATACCTTTCTTTTCTCTGAACGCGGAAGCCCCATCACTCAAAGCCGTTTTTTGCTGGCTCATTCTCGAATTGGCCTGTCTGGATTCCACAATTTATTTGTAATCTTCTAGGAAAAGGATTGTATCTGACTGCCTCTTCTATTTCCCATAGTAAATACCAGTTGATTAATTGTTGGTAAAGTTTACATCATAAAGCAGAAATGGCTTCTTCAGTAAAAGAGACTGAAGAATATGCTAGAGACTGGTTGTAATATCAGTGAAGCCTAGTTGGTTTTAAATGAAGTATTCTACCCTTTCATTACTTGAGTGATTTCAATTTAGAGCATCTCTTCGGTTCTACCTTTAATTCCCACATTTAGATTACGGTCAGATCATTTTCTGTTCCTCAGTTTTGGTTCCAGACCAACATTTTACACTTTAATACTAACCTTGCTTTATCCAACAACAATGAAATCTTGCCTAAAGGACAAGTACTGTTAAAGATATTTGTATTATTTTCATTAAGAAGAGCTATTTTATAAAAGGGATGGATGATATAAAATATTTATATAACGTTTTCAATGAGAATTTTGAGCCCAATTAGCACATTTGTTTTTCCCTCCAGCAACCATAGTTAAGTCCACCAAATCATCGAGTAATACAATGAAGTTGGAAACGGTTTGGGTCGTATTCCAGAGGGGCCCCTCCTCTCACCGTCCAAGTTTCTGGAAGCGACAGTGTTAAGAAAGAATCCTGCCGGGCGCGGTGGCTCACGCCTGTAATCCCAGCACTTTGGGAGGCTGAGGCGGGTGGATCACGAGGTCAAGAGATCGAGACCATCCTGGTCAACATGGTGAAACCCCGTCTCTACTAAAAATACAAAAAAAAAAAAAAAAAAAAAAAAATACAAAACATTAGCTGGGCGTGGTGGCGCGCGCCTGTAATCCCAGCTACCTGGGAGGTTCAGGCAGGAGAATTGCCCGAACCCAGAAGGCGGAGGCTGCGGTGAGCCGAGATCGCGCCATTGCACTCCAGCCTGGGCAACAAGAGCGAAACTCCGTCTCAAAAAAGCAAAAACAAAAACAAAAACAAGAATCCTGGCAGGGCGCCGTGGCTCACGCCTGTAATTCCAGCTCTTTGGGAGGCCGAGGCGGGCGAATCACCAGGTCAGAAAATCGAGACCAGCCTGGCCAACACGGCGAAACCCCGTGCATAATAAAAATGCAAAAATTGGCCGGGCGTGGTGGCCTGCAGTCCCAGCTGCTCGGGAGGCTGAGGCGGGGGAATCGCTGGAGCCCGGGAGGCGGAGGCTGCGGTGAGCCGAGATCGCGCCGCCGCCCTCCGGCCTGGGAGACAGAGCCGGGCGCCGTCTCAAAAACACCCACTTTAATGCTCAGTCTAACCCTGCGCTTCTCCGCGAGGCGGGGGAGTTTTGGGGCGGAGTGCCGCCCGAGGTGTTTCTGTAGTGGCATTTCAGGGACGCCCCTGGGACGTCAGAGCAGGGGCCGCTCCGGGTTTGCGGGGTGCGTCCGGAGTTCCCCCAGAGGCTCATCACGTGGCGGTGGCGCCGCGTCGCCCGTCCCGCCCCGTCCGGCTCCTCCCGCAGCCCCTGGCCTCGCCCACCCTGTCCACGCCCACCCGGCCGCGCATGCGCAGAGCGGCCACCCCGGCGTCGGCGGCGGGGAAATGGCGGCCGCGGGCCTGGTCGCTGTGGCGGCGGCTGCCGAGTACTGCGGCTCGGCCGCGTCGGGAGGAAGCCTGCCCGGTGCTCACTGCGGCTCGGGCTCCGGGGCCGGTCCCGGGTCTGGCCCGGGCTCATGGAGCCGCTCTCTCGACCGAGCCTTGGAGGAGGCGGCGGTCACCGGGGTGCTGAGCCTGAGCGGCCGGAAACTGAGGGAGTTTCCCCGGGGAGCGGCCAGCCACGACCTTACGGACACCACCCGGGCGGGTGAGCGGGGCGGGCGGGTGAGCCGGAGACCCGGCCACGACCTGACGGGCACCACCCGGGCGGGTGAGCGGAGCGGGGCGGGGCGGGTGAGCGGGAGACCCGGCCACGGCCTGACGGGCACCACCCGGGCGGGTGAGCGGAGCGGGGCGGGGCGGGCGAGTGAGCGGGAGACCCGGCCACGACCTGACGGACACCACCCGGGCGGGCGGGCAGCGGGGACCCGGAGCCTGGGGCGGCGGGGAGGGCCGGGCGGGGCGACGGTGGCGTTCGTCTTTACGGAGAGGGAAACCCGCGCCCCGCCCTGTGGGATTCGGGGTGCCCGGCGGCCCTTCCCGGACGGGAACGCTGCGTGCGGGGCCGCGGGGCCGTCGGGGAGGGCCGGATCTCGGCTGCGTCCGTCCGCATCGGACCCGAGCGCTGGAACGTCTTTCTCCGCCTGCGTCTGGGTGACTTGCAGAGTAAACGCATGTGTAGAAAGAACCAGAACCGCCCTCCTGACCCCCGTCAGTGTCCTCTCCCCGCCTCAGCTCCGCCGAAAACAAAAGCTGAATTAAACGGCTTGGAAAAGATGATTGCTCTTCCTTTTTAAAGCATTCCTTTGCGTTCTGGATATTTTCGAACACAGGAAAGAGAATAAGAAACTCCGCATTCCTTGGTTTTTGGAGTTGCAGGGAGCGGTGTCTGGTGCCCGAGCTGTTCCGTTTGCGGTGCCGTCCTCACCGCCCGCTGCAGCCTGAACCTCCCGGCCCCGGGGATAGCTGGGGCTGCAGGCACGCGCCACGACGCCCAGCTATCTTTTTGTGTTTTTTTTTGCAGAGACGAGGTTTCGCCGTGTTGCCCAGGCTGGTCTCGAACTCCAGGCTCAGCCATCTGCTGGCCTCAGCCTCCCGAAGGGCCGGGATTCTAGGCATGAGCCACCGCGGCCTGCAGTACTCGGTGTCTATTTTAAAATCTCAGATTGAGCACATTTTCTACGCTTTGCACGCATTAAAGGTTGATAGGTATTACATACGATTCACTCATTTTGGAAAAGTAAACAAATCACGAAACTATTCTTTCCAAAGAAACTTTTGCTGTAGTATAAAATAGAAGAAATTAAATGCCTGCTCATTTAATCTCTTGTTGGAAACAGTTGAACTGAATATTTTTAAGTGAATTACGGTTTTTTGCTAAGGTTAATATGAGCGGCCACTTGCCTTTTGTATGTGTTCGGGTAGACAGCATCTCAAATTATCACTCATACCCCAAATTTCCTGCTTCTGTTTAGGAGATGACTATATTACCGTATGGTGATTTTGTATTGGTGTGAGTCATTGCAGTGTTACTACATCAAGCCTGAAGCTAAAGAACAAACTGATTACAGGAGTCTTATCTAGCTCAGTATCTCACGTGCTTTTAAGTAGTTCTAGGAGCAACATGTTGAGTCCTTAAGAAATGTTTTATTGACCAAGAAAATCCAAGTGCATTTATGAAGAAACGTAGTAAGTAATACCAAAGAGGTTTTTCCTTACTATGTTCTGAATTTTTAAGTATGGTTTTGCCCACACTTTAATCGTTTCTTTATAAACCAAATTTTTTGTTGGTTGACTTTTTATCTGGCCAAAGAGTGTAAAAAAGAAAATAAAAAGATTACAAGGTATTTTATAACCTATTAGACTAGATTCATTTCTAACATGTAGTAATATCATTTATGAAGTATAAAATCTTTGGCAGACCTTGTTAATTAGTTCAAAAACTCAATCTGAATTGTTTTAAACAGATAATTTAATGCTGATGACATTATTTATTGAATATTCACTATTTGCAATTCATTGTGTTAGGTATTTTGAAATATATTACCTTTTTTTTTTTTTTTTTTTTGAGACGGAGTTTTGCTCTTGTCACCCAGGCTGGAGTGCAATGGCGCGATCTCGGCTCACCGCAACCTCCGCCTCCTGGGTTCAGGCAATTCTCCTGCCTCAGCCTCCTGAGTAGCTGGGATTACAGGCACGCGCCACCATGCCCAGCTAATTTTTATATTTTTAGTAGAGACGGGGTTTCACCATGTTGACCATGTTGGTCTCGATCTCTCGACCTTGTGATCCACCCGCCTCGGCCTCCCAAAGTGCTGGGATTACAGGCTTGAGCCACCGCGCCCGGCCTATATTACCTTGTTAATTGCACACAACAATTGTGGATTAAATATTATTGTCCCCACTTTACATGTGAGGATCACTTAGAGGAAGTCATACAGCTGTTACCACTATATAGCATTATTGGTAAAATTTCAGCCCAGGTTCGTCTAACTCTGTTCTTTCTGCTATACCATGCAACCTCTTTTTAAGTAGGTGTTGCTATTTCTGTTTTTACTGGTGGTGGAAACCAGCATTTAGAGATGTTCAATAATTTGCCCAAAGATCTGTGGCTAAAGGACAGAGAAGGGGGCGTTAGCCAGGATTTTAGTCTCATTTGAGGTGTCTCCAAAAGCCACAGTCTTTTTTTATAGCAGATACTTTGATTAATTCGGGAACAACTTATGGTAGTTACTAGGTATGCATAGACCTTATAGAAAATTTATCATTGCTAAAGACTTGGATAGAGGAAAAAAAAAGAAAATTTAAAGCCAAGTAAAATTATTTGAATGCTGACATATAAAAGTTGCCTCACATACTGTTCTTTCATAATGTATAACATGTACATGGTAGAGCTGTTGTCCTTCGAATATATATCCTAGGAAACAGCATATATTACCCAATCAGTTAGACATGATTTTGAATTTATTGGGAATGTTTTCTTGAGACTTTCTCTGCTGTTTATTTTAAAAGGTTAATCTGCCCAGGCCCGGTGGCTGTCACCTATAATCTCAGCACCTGGGGAGGCCAAGCCAGGCAGATCACCTGAGATCGCAAGTTCTAGACCAGCCTAGCCAACATGGTGAAACCCCAACTCTACTAAAAATGCAAAAATTATCTGGGTGTGATGGTGGGCACCTGTAATCCCAGCTACTTGAGAGGCTAAGGCATGAGAATTGCTTGGACCCAGGAGGTGGAGGTTGCAGTGAGCTGAGGTTACGCCACTGCACTCCAGCCTGGGTGACAGAGTAGATTGTCTCAAAAAATAAATAAATAAAAAAGATTAATCTCTTAGAAAAAAAAGAATATTTGGGAATGGGCGACTTGATCAGTGGACAAGGGCAATCTTAGAAGAAATCGCGGAAGTCTTCTTAGAACAGAAAGGATATAACTTGGATTTGGGCAACCAGAAACAAGAAGGAAAGCTATTTTAGGCAGTGGTCTCAGCATGCAAAAAATTTTAGAGTATAAGGGACATCAGTTAATTTTGCCAGTCCATCATTCAATCCCTTCTGGCAACAATACTCCAGTTTTCCTAAGGAACCAACCCTCTGAGTTATATGAAATGCACCCTGACATAGCGTATGCCAGTGGCTCAGGCCTAGCTAATAATATACAGTCCATTGCTGTGGCAATAGTGATTGTTCAGAAGTGGGCACATCTTGCAGTCAGCACACAATAGTAACTGAATTTTTTGTGTACTATTGAAAAAGAGGCATGCTTTGAGCTCTGTGGTTGCTGAGAGAATAGGATATGAGCCTAGAATTTACCAATAAGTAGAAAGCAAAGTCAAAAGATGGGAACAGTAAGACCAAGTTCTGGTGTCAGTGTTTGTATCTTTGGGTCACCCGCCATTCCTGAAGTTAGTACTACCTCTGTACTTTCAAATTATATGAGCTAATAAATTCTCCTTTCTGCTTAAGGTGAGTAGATTTTTTTTTTTTTTTTTTTTTTTTTTGAGATGGAGTCTTGGTTTGTCACCCAGGCTAGAGTGCAGTGGCGTGGTCTCGGCTCACTGCAACCTCCACTTCCCAGGTTCAAGCAATTCTCCTGCCTCAGCCTCCTGAGTAGCTGGGACTACAGGTGCCTACCACCACACCTGACTGATTTTTGTATTTTTAGTAGAGATGGGGTTTCACCGTTTTGGCCAGGCTGGTCTTGAATTCCTGACCTTGTGGTCTGCCCACCTCAGCCTCTCAAAGTGCTGGGATGATAGGCGTGAGCCAGTGGGCCCGGCCATAAAAAGGTCTTGACTAATACAGTGAAACTGCTCATGATGATATTGTGGCAAGACCAATTTGGTCAAAATAAATTACTGGATTAGAGAATATAAGAGCTGCCTTTCACATATGAGGAAGCTAGGTCGCTGATAGGGTTAGAGACAAGTCAGCATTCATTCTGCAGACATTCATTGGCTAAAGGACTTAGGCAGTCATCAGTGCACAAAGAGGACTCCCTGCCGGCAAAGAACTCAGGGGATCTAATGGGGAGATGGATAGGTGGGAAGATTTTTAAAATTCTGTCATAATAGCGAAACTTTTATGTTTTAGGCATTATGCTATGCAATGTAGAAGAAACAAAGATGAGACCTTATGAATATTTTTAAATCTAGTAATTGCTTGGGTAGCTGCATAATAGTAGAAAACTGTGAGGGAATGAAATCCTGGTAAACTGAGAGCATATTGAAAAATGAAAATGTACAAATGCTGATTGAGTTTATTTAAAAAATAAAGGACAGAAGGAGTCCCAGATAACTCTTAAGCCTGTAAAACTAGAAAGATGGTAACGCTGTTGCTTAGAATAGTAGCTAACATTTATTAAGGTCTTAAAATATTTCAGGTATTGTGCTAAGCTCTGTGTGTGTGTGTGTGTGTGTGTGTGTGTGTGAACAAAAACAACCATAGTGAGTTGTAAATACTGTTTTTGACCCCATTTTACATGTGAGAAAATTGAGGCTGAGGAGATTAAATAATTTGATCAAGGTCTCACAGCTAATAAGTGACAGAACTAGGATTCAATTTCTGATACATTTGACCCTGAAATTTATGTTCTTGATCACTAATCATACTGACAAGTTTGGTTCCTATAATTTCTTTGGTTTGCCTGATATCTTTGAAGGATTTTAGCATATCTAGTGAATCGTGTGGGGCAAATAGAAACAAATAGAAA